CCTACGCACTCTGACACAGCACAGAAAGGCCGACCTCGATAAGCATGATTTGTATTAGTTTAACATCCTCTCTGCGTCCCGCTGGGAACAAAACAAGAGAACAAAACAAGCCACATTAGGATCTGGCTACAGCTGTAATTAGTGGCCATAACACCCACAGCACAGAGGACAAAAAGAAGCCCAAGGTGCATGGCCGACTTCACCCAGCAAAGACATGTCGTTTAGTGTACACAAAGAGAGACCGAAATAGAAGCCCATAAGAAGCAATTTTATTAAGGCACCATATAGATGAACAAGGCCAAAAGAACAGCAGCTAAAGCTTGTCTTTCTTCTACTTTTCTCTCTTAAACGGCCTTTCTCTGCCCACGGGTAATATAGGTGGACACAGGAGTCCTTTGAATTTCACTTAGAGATGGTAGTAATGAAAAATGATTAAAGTTATCAGTGTAATGTACCATTGATGGAGAAACCTGGCCTCATTAGAGCGTTAAGAGCACTCGGAGAGGCAGCAATGGAGGCTCACCCATGTAAAAGTCATGCAGATGTGCTGGTGCATGGCTGAAAGGTATAGAAAATGATAAAGAAAATCAAATCTGCTTTGGGGGTAAATTGTGGAGGACAGACAGCAAACAGTAAGAATAGCTTATGCATAGGCAAGGCAAGGCAAGGCAAGTTTATTTATATAGCACAATTCATACACAAGGCAATTCAAAGTGCTGAACAAAACAAGAAAGCATTAAAATCATAAATAATCACAGAACATTAAAAAGAAAGATACAAATATAAAATCCCTCAGGTGCATGCACAGCTAAACAGAACTGTCTTTAACCTGGTTTTAAACATTGTCAGAGAGGAGGCCTGTCTCACATACCATACCAGGCGGAATGTGCAGAAAATGGCACTTTTGGGTTCTTTTTTTTATTTTCAAGGGGTGGGGGGTTATTTTCAAGATACAGAGATACTTTTGGTGTCAAAGTTCTTGTATAGTGTTAATCAAGTCTCAAATGGGTGTATTGAAATTTTGAAGTTGATGATTATTCCCCCCACCTATACCCTCATGTTCCTTTATCATGGCTGGAAATACATATTAAACATCATTACTTGGCATTTCAAAGCACTTTTGGGGCTGTTGTGTCAAGGGTGCAATATTCTCAACCACAGGGGCTGCTGGCTGTCCAATCACGGCGATGAGGAGCCGGGCTGACATCTTTGGAGTCAGGCGCCATGCGGAAATAGAAATGCCCAATGCAATCCTGTTGAAAAAATACTGGACAAAATCAGCTGACCAAAATGGACACCCCCCTAATTTCCCCCTTTGTTTGATTCCGTAGATATCTGCAGAACATATTCACCACTGGAAATACAAGTTCAACTTGTGGCTTTTTATTCTCTGCAGACATAAGGACTTCTATAATAATAACAACAAATATAAATTCCCCTGATTTGTTTTAACAACTTTTATGGCGACTTTACTTTGACTTAAGAGCCTGGTTCAAAAGACGGCTTCTGACAACTCTTGGGGTGAATGTTTTATAACCAGGTTAGTTTATCCACCGTGTGCTTATCAGACAGTGGCTGATGTGGTTTAACAGTTCCAGCTCTCAGAGTGCAACAATTACTGCATGATTTGCGTAACTTGGCACAATGTGCAAGGGGTAGAAGCAAGCCCAGGTTTTCAAGATGACACCCGTTTAAAGTTTATGGCCTTGCACCATTTTGCAGTTTTTACAAATGCCTCTATTGATGATTATTTATTTTTTTGATCCGCATACATTCTGTAATATTGATATAGATCCTCAAATCAGATCTGCACCCAAGACAAGAGTGTGACTTAATCCAGATGTGATGGGTCATGAATGAATTACGCTACGGGTTAAATAAAGTGCCCCTTCACCTTCACCTTTAGATCAGAGCAGACAACTATGAGTTTGTTGCACAATTGTGTAGATTTCAAATGAAACTGAACCGACTTCTGTGAAAGCTATAGGTTCTATGACAGATGAGGGCGAGCCTTGTTGACATTGAGTTCTATGTTGAATTTGTCCTGCAGTATTGCAGGTGTTCCACCACCGGGCCAGGAGCCGACTTAAGCTAGCAGTATCCTATCCAGATCATTTAATAAATCAATGCTGGGGACCGGTTGTTTTGCTAACATTTGCTAACATTGCAGTACTGGCCTATATTAATGCTGTAGCCAGGCTTTTCCTGCAGGAGGGGCCCATGAGACATCTGTGGTGGACCATTAGTTAGAGACTATAGACCACGCACAGTCCGTTTCTATGCCCTCAGCCAAACCATATCAAATTAAACTACATTCTCTGTGACCCCGTTTACCTGGTCCCAATAAAGGTGAGCGCCTCCATTCTCGTTGCAGTTTTGTGTGTCCCACAAAACTATTCTATCTGGTTCCTTGCATCCTTGACCTACTTTGGAATATTGTCTTTGCTGGGCTACTAAAACTGATTTCTACATTTAACAAACCATTTCAGTCATTTTAGATACAGTATAAGCAACCTGTATAAGTAATTATTACTCATACAACACTGCCATCTGCTGTAGGTTAGCTACTTTAGTGATGAAATGTATCAAAAAAGGAGAAGGGAAACATGAGTGCCAAAATGACCAGTGTTTTCTTTGTGTTTGTGAAAAGAATGGGTATGGCTCATCCTGTGCATCAGTAGCTATTGCTATTATTTGTGTTAAACTTTTACAATGCAAGAGAACGGATATGGTGCAAGAATAAAACATCCTCTGGTGGTAGCATGACATGACATGTAAAACATCACATATTATTATTATTTCAATGGCTCTGATTAATGCATAACATGTATTCTTAAAATACATTATTAGAAGTTTATTGCAGAGAATTTGACTACACATAAGAGCTACTCTACTGCCATCTAGTGCACAAAAAGCCTCACATACAGTTGACACGTGGAAATAATTCATTTGTGTAAGATATATTTTAGCTTTTATTTTATGTCGCACGAGCTTCTATTGTGTGCTTTTTATAAAAGAGGTCAAAGCCACAGTAGTGTATTGTTTGTTATGCGTAATTCTGTGTTATTTACATACTGTGTAGTTATTTGAATGATCTTCTGCCCAGAGACTGCAGATGAAAAATAGCCTGTTGCTATTTAGTACAAAGCATGTCTTCTTCATTTTGAGATGCATTTCGATTATAATATATATATCAATGCGCAGAAGACTGAATGCATAAAAAAACATTGATTATTTTTTAAAGAAAAAAATAATGCAAAACCACGTGATTCACAGACTTTCCACACAATGAGTACTATTCTGAGAATATAAATATATTGCATATTTACTGTAATTTCACTTTTTTAAACCCACTAAGGACAATGTCAAGTTGTGTAGGACTGGGTAGGTAAGTTCCTGAGTTGTTCAGGAGTTCCCACCAATTCCCTGGGCATTAGATGGATTTAATCACACCAGAATTCAACGAAGTTCAACAATTTATTTCTTAATCTGCAGGAACATTTTAGGGTTTTAAATCCTGAAGAAGGGTAAGAGCCACAGCGAAAATAACCTTTGCATTTCCTTTGGAGAGGTTTCTGTGACTCAAGACTCTTTTAAGGAGGCTTCAGCAAACTAATAATAAAGAAATTAAAAAATTTGTTCTGTTTTTTATTTTTGTGTGAAAATGGTCTAAACAGATAGTACACAATTAACAGATTGTGGGATAAGTGCGGCTTATAGTCAGGTGCGCCATCTGGCATATACGGTATCTATAAAATAATGACATGAGGTGCATGTCTTGATTTTCATTAAGTTTTCATTAACTAGAACACAGTAATCCAGACACACTGGATATTCAGGTGGCCATCTTCGCATGAGTATTGTGTTAGTAGCCTACTGATGATGAGGAAAAACCTAAATACTGTACTGTAACACAAGTCCCGACGCCAACTTAAAGATATAGGAGGATCTTCTACTTCCCGGTGGATCATCAAGAGTATTGGTCCTCCCAAACATCCTGGTGATACTTGCAAGTCAAATAAGAGAGAGCTTTGTTAAAAAAAGTAGAGAGGGTAGTTCTTTCCTAAAATTTGGGAAAATCCTCTACATACCTTTGAGACGTAAACTATACGGTGGCTGAGTGGATAGCACTCTCGCCTCTCAGCAAGAAGGTCCTGGGTTCGAATCCCGGCCGGACCAGGGCCTTTCTGAGTGGAGTTTGCATGTTCTCCCCGTGTCTGCGTAGGTTTCCTCCGGGTACTCCTGTTTCCCCTACCACTAAAAATATGTCCAATAGTTCTGGCATGCGCCTCCTGTACTGCGGGGCCAGTGGAGTCCCATCTCTGTGTGGAGTGAGAGACAAATGCCCAAAAACAACAATTGTAAACCGCTTCGAGACTCAGATCTGCAGTGAAAAGGTGGTATATAAATAAAAACTTACTTACTTACTATAAAATGTTTACGGTATAAATGTGAATTTGAACTAGTACTTTGTAGGGTGTACAGCAGAACAACAAAATACACAAAAATAGTCTTGTTTATCGTAAAGACATCTACTCACTTGAAGATGAAGACGTGAAGTTGTAATATTCTACAGCGTGAGATCAATAAACTCTATCTTATCATATGCAAAAACAGATGGCGCGATAAACCAACTTCTACGCATGCGCAGATGCACTAGCTAATCCATTTGCGTTGGGGGAGTCTTTCTCGGCAGAACACCTCACAGTTTCCAGGATCCCGATGAGGACGTGGTGTGAGACAGATAGCAAACGTCTCTCAGTGAAGTTTGCACATTTACTTAGTAGAGAAGAGGGACTAACTTTTACACAGGACGTCTCGAACATTCCCACAGTTGAATAATGATCCATGTTGTTCTTCTGCCATTGGCGCTGCTGCTGAGCGTGCACCCGCGCTGAGTGGACGCCCGGCCGGATACTGTCACAGCTCTGCACCGCTCTCAGCCGCCCCTGGTCCTCCTACATGCGACTCACCCCGTCTGCACTCCACTGTTGGCAGCAATGACTGAGAGCCCCACCACCACCACCACCAGCAGCAGCAGCAGCAGCAGCAGCAGCAGCAGCAGCAGCAGCAGCAGCAGCAGCAGCAGTAGTAGTAGTAGCTCCACCACCAAGCCGTCTAACGGGACTGCGCGCCCCCGAGGAAAGAACGGTCTGAAGCTGGAGACAGAGGGCTGGCTCCAGGCTGCTCCTCCACCGCACAAACACGCTCAGAACCACGGGCTCAACGGGGAGGTAAGGCCCCAAGTATAGATCTGTGTGGCCCCGGTAGATAGGGGGAGACTGGGGACTGCCTAGGACCGTGTTGTGAGGTTGTGGTAATGAGTTCCACCAAACTGAGTGAACTCCCTTGCACAGCACACAGGTCCTGTTCATAGATTGTGTATGACTATCTTACATCACGGATGCTTACATGCACTGTTTTGCGTTGAGATTGTGACTTTATGATCATTTCCCAAATCTGATCATTTCTAAATCTCATATGCGTCATGTTTATTAGATAAGGTGTTCGTCCCACACGTGGTATACTCGACTAATCTCTAACTCATTACTATAGTAAAACATCAAATAAAAACTCGTCATACTTCTTGAGCATAATCGTATAACGTTTTCAAACAGGTCCTGGCTTTGCCTTTTATATGACATGGTGTTGGTGTCGCATATTTTACCAAAGATTACTTTAGTTGACTAAGGGCAGTGTTTGGGAATAAATAGATGTATGAATCGACTGTAGGTTTACAGATTGGTTGATTAACTGCATTTACATTATTTATTTTGGGTGTATTCAGAATATATTTTCAAAGTATACTGCCTAATACTCACTGTGGCCATTGTTGTTTTGTTTTTGTTTGTTGTAAATGTGTGTAGTTACATACTGTTTAGTTATTTGAATGATCTTCTGCCCATAGACTGCAGATGAAAAATAGCCTGTTGCTATTTAGTACAAAGCATGTCTTCTTCATTTTGAGATGCATTTCAATTATAATGTATATCAATGTGCAGAATACAAGACTGAATGCATAAAAAACATTAATTCTGATTTTAGTCCTAGGTTTAGGGAGTGTACACAAGTGTGAACGCACCCTAGGCATTCAGAGCACCTTAAATTACTACTTGTATAGACAAGTGCAAACTAGTGGCATTCAGCTCAATGGACTGACCCTATTCTGTTGTGAGGTATGTATGGGTGGCATGACTAGTCACATACTGCACATACAGCTATTGGCCCAAACCAATGAGGATCTGTTAAAAAGACTGAAGACACATTTCCTGTTTTGTAGCAACTACATTATAGTTTGTGGTACCACACCATGTGCCATTTTTGTCTTACTACTATAAATTTTAGGAAAGAACCGCCCTCTCCACTTTTGAAACGAAACTCTCTGATCTTATTTGACGAGCAGAATGATTGACAATTGGATCAGATTCCGATTCATTTATTTGCCATTTGCAGTAAAACTACATTGGAATACATTTGCAAAAGTCCCCAGTGTGCACAAGACGAGTACATCAATAAAAAGGGTTTAAAGCACAGAAATAAAACAAACAAAACAGTAAACGATTGACACTGTGAAATCGACTAAATTTTAATCGACTAAAACAGTTTAAATACAAAGGCAAGATCATTTAAAGTGCTCTGTTCAAACTGATGACAGCTTGTTGTTGTTGATCATTAGTTTTGGTGATCCACACATAAGTAGAAAATTCTCCTTTATACCTTCTATCTCTTGTTTTCCTTTGAATGAACAGATCAATGAGAATGGCAGCCTGTATCGTCAGCCCTTTGTCGAGTCGTTTGAGAAGACGCCCATGTGGGTGGCTGTGCTGACCTACATGGGTTATGCCATCCTGACCGTCTTCGGACACCTACGTGACTTCCTGCGTTCCTGGAAGATTGAAAAATGCAACACCACCGCAGAGAGGGAGGAGCAAAAGGTTGGACCACCACTTTCATTCACAAGAAAAGTGTCAATTTAATTTCTATGGTCTGTAACATATTTGAGTACAAGGCTTTTTTTTTTTTAAAGATCTGTAACCAAGAAGAAATCCTTTATATTACTGATTCCATCCATCCATCCATCCCTCCATTTTCTTCCGCTTTATCCGTTGCTGGGTCGCGGGGGCAGCAGTCTAAGCAGAGACGCCCAGACTTCCCTATCCACACACACTTCCTCCAGCTCGTCCGGGGGGACCCCAAGGCGTTCCCAGGCCAGCTGAGAGACATAGTCCCTTCAGCGTGTCCTGGGTCTTCCCCGGGGCCTCCTCCCGGTGGGACGTGTCCGGAACACCTCCCCAGGGAGGCGTCCAGGAGGCATCCGGAACAGATGCCCGAGCCACCTCAACTGGTTTCTCTCGACGTGGAGTAGCAGCGGCTCTACTCCGAGCTCCTCCCGTGTGACCGAGCTCCTCACCCTATCTCTAAGAGAGCGCCCAGCCACTCTGCGGAGGTAGCTCATTTCGACCGCTTGTATCCGCGATCTCATTCTTTCGGTCATTACCCAAAGTTCATGACCATAGGTGAGGGACGGAACGAAGATTGACCGGTAAATCGAGAGCTTTGCCTTTTGGCTCAGCTCCCTCTTTACCACAACGGTCCAATACAGCGACCGCATCACTGCGCTATATTACTGATTCCCAGGTCATATTTTAGTTTGGAAACACTGTACGTACCTTGATACATGGCTTGGTACATTTGGCAAGATTTAATACAATATATTTCCAAGAGACAATTACAAGAATTAATTAACAAAAATAGGCCTTCACCCCAGTTAAGTAGCAATATGTAAGATTTTAATGTCAAGTCATTAAATGGCCCTGATATGTCCAAAGGCATTAACAAAACATGCTCTTTTCAAATACTTCTTCAACTGATAACAGTAGTTCAGAGATATTTGGATTTCAAAATTAATTTTACAGCCCCTGTGATTGTTTTCATTACGATGTCCCGCCCTCCACTGTTTCACCAATCAGAAAGTCTGTGATCCGATTTGTCAGAACTCACCGCGTCAAGCTTATCTCACTTGTAAAGTACCATGTGGCGTACCATGTTATGATTCTCAAATCATTAACAACAAAACAAGGAATAAAACCAGGATTTCTATCTTTGTGAAAAAGGTGTTGGTTATAGATTTGAGACTCTTTATTCAGAGATCATGGTCCAAGCTGGATTTGTCTGCATATCTGGCAACCTGAGTCAGGGAGAGTGCAGTACCACTTTTGTCCAGATTTTTACATACTGGTCCTTAAAACTAGAATTCAACACTATTGTTTTTGCTGCTACTGGACACCTGAATTTCACCAACAGGGATCAATGAAGTATCTATTTCAATCCTGAGTCTAATAACAAATCTTGATAGCACACCTTTTACTTATACCTGTTTCTTTATTATTTTTTTCCACAGGATTTTGTGCCCCTCTACCAAGAGTTTGAAAACTTCTACACCTGGAACGTGTACACCCGTGTGCGTGACATCCTCAACAGGCCGATATGCAGTGTCCCAGGAGCCACCATGGATCTGCTGGAGCGGACGTCGCATGATTACAACTGGACTTTTGAGTATGCACCCGCCTTTTACAATGCTCTCAAATGGCTTGTAAAAAAGTAACTGGTATCGACTAATTTATCGCTAAATGATCTATAAACGATGGCCTGATTGTTTACCCTATTCTAAAAACATTATGCATCTGTCTACAATCCACAAAGTCTATAATGAACATATAGTTTGTGGTTGTTCTGGTCATAATGTAAGGGTACAAACTGAAATTATTATGAAGAATTAGTCACATTTGGCCGTTGCAATTCAATCAATGTAGTCTCCAATAGAAGTAAATACGTTTTAATTTCATAAAGTGGCAGAATACTAGTGAAATAGTGCTGTTTTAGTGTAAACTTTAAAACATTTTCCATTGTATCATCCCGAGCTGTGGCCTGTGCTGTGTTTTTGCTGTTTATATGCTGTACAATATCTGATGGCTCTCTCTCTCTTGCAGATACACAGGTCGAATAGTGCACAATGTGATCAATCTTGGCTCGTACAATTATCTGGGCTTTGCTGAGAACACTGGGCCCTGTGCTGAGGCTGCAGCCAGAATTACCACAAAGTACGGAGTAGGAGTGGCCAGCACCAGGCAGGAAATGGGTACAAGCCGACACAGTCATTGCAGTCCTGATGCTTTTAGTGCACGGTGAATGGTTCTGAGTTATTGCCAAAAATAATAGGGTGTTATTAGCAAAACAACATACCATGGAACTGCGCATTTGTAATATGTCCAAATTATATATGATAATTTTCTATACAGCTTTTAAACTGAGAAATCAAGAATTATACCTGAACTACCTGCACAAGATTGAATAATTCATACTTTATAATCTGTCTCAAAGAGAAAGTTTCAACACTTGTTAGATGGACATGGTTTCTCTCAAGGCTGAAAAACATGACAAAACTACTTGACAGAATTTAAGCATTACACAATTTTTTTCTTCGATTTTCATTTGCCACAGTATATATTTTTTCAAGCTGAATGATTATGACATCTCCATAACAGCCCTGGATCATTTGGACCATTTTAGAACCTAATTTGGTGTATTTTTCTTCCACGCTCATCATCTGTGGTGCTCAAGGGTTAAACAAAGCTTTTAGGGTTTGGCATTTTCTGTGGGGATAATCACAATATATTAGTTATGAAACAAAGTTGGGTAGCCTGATGATAGCCTGATGATAGCAGCAGTTATTGGTAAATTAAAACTAAATACAAGTTTTGATCACAAAGATGAGATTTTATTTATTTTAGATGAGGGACCAAATACATGCATGTAAAACCAAACCATTTTCTGTGGGTTGAAAGTTTGCTACCCCAGCTTTTAATGTGTCATACCAGATTTTTAATTGATGCAAGGCTCTTCTGATCTATTTCCAGCGCTTCGTATTATTAGATTAAAGATTCTTGTTTTTTACAGTTAGTATTTTCCGATTTTTTTTTATGCATTCTGGGCTGTTCTGAGATAGATGGTGAAATGTATTTGGTCTGAAACATGAAATGAAAGATAGTCATTCTAATAGTGCTTTTTTTAAACGACTAAATAGGACCGTGGTGATGATCCAGGACACTCATGGCTCTGTGTGTTTTTTTTATCATTGCATTTTTTTGATTCTCTGATCTGTATTGGCAATTTCAACAGTTTTGTTAAGTCCTCCGAGATAACTTCTGTAGTGATTTAGGGCTATACAAGAATACATACAATTGAATGGTTATCACAAAAAATAAAAATGAAGCTTGAATACAGATCCAACATTCCTCTGTGATAATTGTCTGTGTGTTGAAGGAAACCTGGACAGACACGAGGAGCTGGAGAAGCTGGTCTCTCGCTTTCTGGGGGTGGAGGCGGCTATGACTTTTGGGATGGGGTTTGCCACTAACTCCATGAACATACCAGCTCTGACTGGCAAGGTACTGTTCTTTTCATCCATGACATCCATCTTTTTCTACTTGCACTGCTGATACACGTGCTGAAATGAGCAGTAATTCCAAAACGTCTTTCATTTATTACCTGCTGTTGAACAATGTCACTTTTATGGGGTCTGAAGTCTTCACACTTTACCACCTACTTTAAAAGCAGTCTGTGTTTCCACCGCACTAACCTCAACGGCCTGTAACAAAAACACTGCATGCTTCCTGAGTCAATCGTTAAACCAAAGCAGAAGTTTCCTCTTGATATGCACCCAAAATGTACCAGACATTTTGGGTACACGCATTCAAGAAGATTAAAAAAAAAGTTTTGAAAATGTTAAAGGACAACTGAACACCAAATCAACTTTTTTAATTCATAAACTGCATAACTATGCTTCTTATAGTGCTCTCCACATGTCCTGGTCATGTTATTGACATTTTAGTGCAAATTAGATGAAATGTCACTTCTTAACTGTAATAGGACTAACATTTACGCACGCTCTAAATATGGTTCAAGCAAGACATGTCAAACTCGGGCTCGTGGGCCAAATCCGGTCCGCAAGACAATTTTTTTGTGGCCCCTACCAGGATTTTTTATTATTATTATCTACTTGCAGAGTTTATGTAATGGACGACCATGGCATGTTATACATCATCTTTGTTCTCAGGAAAGCAAACAAACTGAATTCATTCAAACATTTTAACCCAACACATAATTATATAGAACACGGTTTGGTCCAGCTTTGGTTAAATCTAAACAATCAACACATTTTGTTTTCAGAAAAATCAACCAGAAAGTAATAAGACACAGAAACTTTTAAATGTCGTGAAAAAAAGTCATATCAAAAACCTCATTCATAATGGAAAAATAATTATAAGAAAAAGAAATCTCTTCTATTCTTTCGGCCCGAACAGTTTCCTTTTTTTTTATTTGTCCCCTGACTAAAATGAGTTTGACACCGCTGGCGTAAGCAAAAGTAGAATTACACTGGCCATAAATTCAATTACTGTTTGAGCTGAAGTAGAAATCCCGTGCCTGTTTGCCTGCCTTTGGTAATCAATTCAGGAATAAGGAATAAAGGCGTAATCCTCTTCACTTTGAAATGCCACACAAGCAGGACAAATGCCCTCTGGGAATTTGTTCTACTCAATTCACACAAACGCATATATCAAAGGTGAATTGCTCTTCTCAAATACAAAATGGGGTTGGCTATTTTACCACCAAATGAACAAAGTGTTTGCTCCTAAAGGGTTGTCTGATCCTAAGTGATGAGCTGAACCATACCTCTCTGGTGCTGGGGGCCAGGCTTTCCCGCTCAGTCATCCGGGTCTTCAAACACAACAGTAAGTCAAAGTGAATGTAGGACACACATTTCTGCCGACTTTTTTTTTACCATCATATGTATTCATGTTTTGTTTATTTTATTTACTCCTGCCAGATATGCAAAGTTTGGAGAAACTGCTCAGAGAGGCTATTGTGTATGGTCAGCCCAGAACACACAGGCCATGGAAGAAGATCCTCATACTGGTGGAGGGCATCTACAGGTACTGGATAGATAGATAGATAGATAGAAAGCTGGGATTATGCATAATTTAGCATTTGCGCACATTCTAAATATGGTCTAAGCAAAAGAAGAATTACACTGGCCATAAATTCAATAACCGTTTGAACTAAAGTAGAAATCCTGTTGGCCTGCCTTTGGTAATCAATTTAGGAATAAGGAACAAAGGGGTAATCCATTTCACTTTGAAATGCTACACAAGCACAATATGCCCTCTGGGAATTTGTTCTACTCCATTTGCACAAACGCGTATATCAAAGGTGAAGTGCTTTCCTCAAATACAAAACAAGGATTGGTTGTTTCCTTGGTAGAGTGAGCCTCATATACCAAATGAGGCTCACTCTACACTAAACTGCACTGATGTATTACATTTGGGTCAATGACTCAAAAAAGTCCTGAATTGTCCACGGCCGCTACTGCTGAATGTTCACAACGCCCACTTTGTTCCATCTGTTTGTCCAGTGAAGAGGGCACTGCTTAAGGGAGCAGTATGGCTGTCTGATCCTGAGTGAGACCATTCACGAGCTATTGTTAACCCAGACCATCCCAGATTTACCAATGCAAAACTCTTCTGTAATTCTTAAAAATAACAATTATAAATAATGGAATAGTTTATAGGGGCGACAGTTGCTCAGTTGTTAGAGTATTGGCATTTGGGCCTGAAGGTCGTGGGTTCTAGCCCACTGTAAGACCTACTTCACGACACCCACTGATGACTGCTGTCGTTGTGTCCTTGGGCAAGACACTTAACCCCACTTTGCCCCAAGCCCCCACTGAAAGAGCTAGGCTCCTGTGGACTCACCACCTGCAGGAGGATCAGTGAGGGGCTGGTGCTCTGTGTACTGGGTGCAGCTCTGACTGCCACCCCCTGACCCAGAAATGGATTAAGGGGAAGAAAATGGATGGATGGATGGAATAGTTTATTTGCAAAAAGGATATTAAAAAAAATATTTAGACTTACAATTTGCACTTTACCAAGTACTTTTGTGAAACGTCAGATCTATTTTAGTGCCATACAAATAGTTTCACCCTTTCATGAAAATATTCTTTCAAACTTGAAAACAAAACATGTTGCAGATTGTCTAAAGGTTGTTTTCCTCTAGTTACCAACTTACTTAACAATTGTGCAAAAGCTAAGACAAGCTCAATGCCTTGCTAATGATCTCAACAAGACCCCACCAGCAGAGACCACCCTGTCGCCTTTATCTCTCCCAGCGCCTCCTTTTCTGGAAGTAGAGTTTGTTTTGACAGTGCTGACATAGAGCAAGATTTGCCTTTAAACACAGCCTTCTCAAATTACACCCCGGCTTCGCTTCCTCTCTGTTAGGCTCAGCAGAACATGTGCCGAATGCTCCTAACAGCTGTTCTCCCCCTGCAGCATGGAGGGCAGTATCGTTCGGCTGCCGGAGGTGATCGCCCTGAAGAAGCGCTACAAGGCCTACCTGTACCTGGACGAGGCGCACAGCATCGGAGCCCTTGGGCCCAGAGGGGGGGGCGTGGTGGAGTACTTCGGCCTGGATCCTGCTGACGTGGACGTGCTCATGGGCACTTTCACTAAGAGCTTCGGGGCCGCTGGGGGATACATTGCAGGGAAGAAAGTAAGATCCAAGTGCTTTTGGCTCTTGAGGTTTTATAATAGAAGCGCCACTGTTTTCCAGAATCATCCACTGCTCTCAGATGAACTTGATCAGGCTGCTGCGATTCAGGATTGTGTTCTGTAAATAGAATATGGGTTGCAGGTTCACTTTGGAGGCCAACAGAGGAAATTTTTACGTTAATTTAGTTGTAAGAGTATATTAACATTTCCACAAGCTGTGATTACTTCATAACGAGTGCACAGTTTGACATGTGTAATATTTTGTAAAGGTGCATCGGCTGAACATCTGTATCGGCCTATGTTTGCCTTGTTAACTACCATCGGCAAATAAAAATGACACTGGTCGATGGTAGGCGCGAGCAAAGAGATACAGATAGAGAGGGTTTGTGCACGTCCTCAGTAGAAGAAACAAAGAAGATGGTGGCTGTCGTGTGGCGATATTTGACAGTGTCAGAAAGAAATCAGCGTGATGCAGTTTGTACGTGTTCAGTGAGCTTTCAAGAGCTGCTATAAAATCCTTTACCTCAAAGAATCTCATTGGACATTTGAGAAGCATGAGGCGGTGTACAGCGACTGCATGAAGCTGAAGAAAAAAACAGATAATCTCTACCAAGAAATGTATATCTATAAATGAAAAAATAAATAAAACATCGGCCAAGTTATGTTAAACATCGGTATCGGCCCAAAATTTCACAATTTGTGCATACCTAATATTTTGCCTGATTTGTGTGGTTCCGGTAAAGTGAGTGAGAGCGGCGTGTGTTTGGTGAAAATACAGCTTTGAGCATGTGCCTCCTGATGAGTCTTTTGATCCACTCTCAAAGCTCCGGCAGTGGTCAGAAAAGCTTAAGCTTTAGATTCATCTAATACTAATGTTGTCTCTGCCATCATGTTTTTATTATATTAATTTCAGGACTTGGTTTAAGCAGCTTTTGAGAACATTAAATACATGTTTCTATATCAAAGGAGCTACATTTGTGTTGTATCATCTCAAACATGGAGTAACATTATTGTCCTCTCAAACCAGCATCTGAAATTTAGAACATTTAACGTGATTGAGTAGACTCTGCTAGTGCTTTTGAACACTGCAGTCAACTCTCGTGAATTCAAAAAGAAGCACATCTTCAGTAAACAAAGGAACATTCTGATGAAGTGCTTGTTTGTGTTTGTAGGAGATGATCGATTACATGCGCTCCCACTCCCACAGTGCGGTCTACGCCACCTCCATGTCTCCTCCTGTGGTGGAGCAGGTTATCACTTCTATGAAGAGCATTATGGGAGAGGATGGCACAACTATAGGTTTGTTTTCACTTTTCTGTCTTTATTTTTGATTTACATATAGTATAACTGTATTTAATATAATTCTATTCTTCATTGAAGTTAACCCATGTTTGTTTCAGCTGTAGTTTTCACTCAGGCCACCAGGTGGCAAACTAGTGATCTGTATCTGAGGGAAAGTTTCATTTGAGCATGTCTGCTTTAATTTATGGTCAGAGCTTATTTTCTTTTCTTTATTTGCAATTATCAGCATATTTGTGTGGATTTTGTAACTCTCAAAGTCTTTAGCTGTAACATTCACACCTTGGTGTCCTATTATGTTATCTTCAGAGAATATTATTTAATTGCAGCTGTTTTTAAAAGTTGTAGTTTTGTGTAGCGGTTTCAAGTAAATACATTTTGTTTCTGCCAGGTCGTGACCGTGTGAAGCAGCTGGCAGAGAATACAACCTATTTCCGAAACCGTCTCAATGAGATGGGCTTTATCATATACGGCAACAGTGACTCGCCGGTCGTCCCCTTGATGCTCTACATGGTCGCAAAGATTGGGTACGTAGTCTGGCGGCTGTTGGCTCTTGGAATGATGTAGCACATGTTTACATAATACCCAGACCAATTACTCTTAAATACTTCATCTTACACAATTTACTCACAATGTATTTTTCGTTTAGACTTAACATTTCACCAAAACAGGCTTCAGGGTGATCTACCTTTCCTAAAGCGAAGGTCGGTTACTTTTCAAATTGTAAAGATGGAGAAATGTTTTTTAAACACAAACACCAGTTTCACCCGCCCCTACAGGATCCCGATTGGACGCAATGAATTAAAATCCTTGTTAATAATAATAATGCATTGGTTTTATATAGCACTTTTCATCGACCCTTCACATGTCATTCTATCACTTCATACACAATGGTGATAAACTGTTACAGTAGCCACAGCTGCCCTGGGGCACACTGACAGACGCGAGGCAAACAGTCTGTGCCATCAGCCCCTCCAGCCACCACCAACCATTCACACACACACCAGAGTCATTGTAATGTGGGTGATGTGACTTGCCCAAGAACACAGCCACAGTCGCCCCACTGTGTTCCCAGAGGTCTCCCATCATAATCCTCACCAGACCCTGCCACAGCTTCAGAGATCTGACGGGGTCTGGCTTTTGAATGCAACTTTGGTCGTAGACAGCTGAGGCTTCACTATTTAAATATTCTTAAGCAAATCTTACTGGTGATGCATATTCCAAGGGGAGGAAATGTTTTATATGTATTTATGATGAAACTTACTTAATATAGATACTACACGCTCATATTGTCAAGATATAAATTATTAAAGTTCCAGACGTCACTTTTAATTTCATCTACTTTGTTATCACGTATTAAGTACTTCCTGGTACACAGGGCAGAGCAGAGCTTCAATCGGATGGACTCGTGTTCATTGTTCTATTATGTGAGGATCTCTGGCTTCTGCATGATCTGAGAGATGAATCCAAACGTGGTCCGTTCTGTTCCACAGCGCGTTCGGAAGAGAGATGCTGCGGCGGAACATCGGCGTGGTGGGGGTGGGCTTCCCTGCCACGCCCATCATCGAGTCGCGCGCTCGCTTCTGCATCTCGGCCCAACACACTCGGGACATGCTTGACAAGGTAACGCTCTTATTCACATATTATTTTGAGTGAGTAAAGTTTATTTGGTGCCATATGAACCGGCCCGGACTCTGAGGAGCACAGGGACTGGTGCTGCTGCCCAGAGTCAGGACTAGACACGGGGAGGCAGTGTTTCAGATTGATGGAGACTGGCTGCCTCCACTGTTCTTTTTGCCTGTGCTAAAACTGAAGGATTTTATCTCAACTCTTTTTTTATGTACTGTTTTTATTTATAATTGTAATCTTTTGTGTGATTTTACTGGTTTTAGTTACTTGTATAATTTTAATTGTGTTTTTAATGGTGTTTTTGGTGTTGAGACAGGAGCCAGTGTAAGGACTTCAACATTGGAGAAATGTGTTCTCCTATGAGTGCTGGTCAAAAGCCTCGTAGCAGAATTTTTTACTACTTGCAAATAAGCAAGATCTTTTTTACTTCGACACATAAGCAGCTGTTACCATAGTCCAGCCATGTCCAAACTCAGGCCAATTGCGGTCCTCTGTGCCATTTCATGTGGCCATTGAGGCACTTTGACAGTGTCATCCTACCAACTTCAGCTCCACCAATACAGTCACGCTATACCTTGTGTACCTCAGACCCTCTGGAATCCTTTTGTTTTATACTGATATTAGTTTTTGATTGTGGCACAACATTCCACATAATGCAGCTGTGGTGTGAATCAATAAGGACGTATCATAACCCATTTTAAATTCCAGAATCCAGTCAATCCAGTTTTATAAATCCAGGTTGTCGGCCCCAGGTCAGGTAAAGAGGCTCACTTACTAAAAGGTTTTGACACAACTGCTGTAGTCCAACCGCAACGAAACAAAAGCGTGTACAATCATCCCCAGCTCCTGACCCGAGACCATATGTCTCAGTTTGGAGATGAATATATTTGGAAGAGCCATATTGAAAACTATTACTTTTGGTCCCCTCAGCTCTGTCACTGAAGTGGGCTAATTCCAAATTCCAGTTGTCAAGCCCTTTACTAAAGAACACCCACACTCCGCATTGTTAGGCCTTGTTAAAATCAGTGTTGACTCGTTTCTTGGAGCCAGACTGCGATTCCTTTTGCATACTCCTTGTGCATAGATTTGTGTTTGTCAAATTCCTCCAGGGATTTCTTAAAAAGTGTATATAAAATAGTCTTGGCAGTGCTCGTCCCACTAACTAATTGCATTTCTGTTTTTCAAGCTAACAAACTGGAAAAGACTGCTGCTGTAGGGGCAGCTGTGGATTTTGGCTTGGGTACACTGTGTGGGAGGTACAAAAATGTCCTCTCAAGATGATACTGCATCTCTGCTTGATTCATTCCAACGGCTGTTTACGTCCTTTACATAACAGCGTTTACTTTAGTTGTAAATTCTCCAGAGCTGTTTGACAAAAAGACAAAAGTGCAGTGTTCATGTTGTGGTGTACGGTGTAGCGTTGTCTTAAGTAATACAGCTATAGTTTTAACCCTTTAATGCTTTGCGATTCTGTCACTATATCAAAATCTACCTCATTGGGGCATTTATATCACTTGGTTTTTTGGCAAATTCATTATCAATCATCCTCTCAACCACTTTGTAAAGCCTATAATTAAAAAAAAACTAGGAGTTCAAAAATATTTATAGATTTTTCTCCTATATCCTAGACTAAAAATACAGACATCGCTTTCTTCAAGGAGTGAACATTAAAACTCAAGAAACTTGACAGAGAAAGTTGACACATTTACCGGCACGGTGGCTGAGTGGATAGCACTCTCGCCTCTCAGCAAGAAGGTCCTGGTCAAGTTGGACCAGGGCCTTTCTGAGTGGAGTTTGCATGTTCTCCCCGTGTCTGCGTAGGTTTCCTCCGGGTGCTCCGGTTTCCCCTACCACTAAAAATATGTACAATAGGTCTGGTCCTGTACTGGCACCCCCACTCCCAAAAATCACAATTGTAAACCGCTTTGAGACTCCGATGAGGAATTTACAGCTGTGTACCACATACTCAGCTGTGAATACCTCCAAGACTAAACCAAGAGCAATTATAGCTGCAGTTTGATTTCATTTTATTTTATGAAATTTTATTTTATTTCATTTCTATTTTATCATCCTATAACTCATTATTTTATTATTTCAAGATTCAAGAATGTATGTGCCATTTGCAGTAAAACCACATTGGAAAAACTGTGCAAGACTAGCCCAGTGAGCACCAGACAGAACACGGCACACACCAGAGCTCTAGCCACTATTTTAATATAAATGTTATTCTATATGATCTTAAACAATGGACCATGTGATGTGACTTTTTCCCGCTGTAATGTGTACAACAATGACATTAAAATTTCCCCGCTGTGAGACGAATGAAGGAATATCTCATCTTATCAATAGTGAATGTGATTGTGCGTTCTCACTACAAGTACTGTGTGTATAGACAGATTGATACTTTATTGATCCCCGTAGGATATATCCAGGTGTCCAGTAGCAGCAAAAATAAAAAATATGGTGTATAACATTGGCCACTCACTGCCTCCTCCTGTTTCCTCAGGCTCTGAGCGCCATCAACGAGGTGGGGGACCTTCTCAGCCTCAAGTATTCCCGCCGACGAGTACGGCCGTCTGTGGTTTGCTCCGGGGACCACCACTCATTAGAGGGCATTGACAATTAGCAGTGGTCAGTGTTGCGTCCAGACAAACACAATCGCAGTAGAAGGACACAAACCTTTCTGTAACTCTGCTTTGCCTTAACTCAAACAAAGGTCATCTATATTAATTATTGTCAGCCATTTTTGTATAACAGTATTTTGCTATGTGAAGTCCTTTTGCTACATTATTATTATTATCATTATTATTATGCTGTATAAAATGTAGTTTCCAAATGTCAGGCCTCTAGGGAGGATTGGGTGCACATTCAAATTCTATACCAAGATCTTAAATCAAAACCAAAAAATATATATGTATTTTTCACAAGCCGAGGATTTGTGCAAAATGGATGATGTTCAGTATTTGAAATTTATATTTGGACAGTCGAGGGATAAAAGCTCAGGAACTTAACGCGTATCTGTCTCACCTTAGAATAAACTGCAACCAATGTTTTTGCTGTTGTGTTTTCTAAAGTTTTGTTTCACGGCGTTTATTTTTGGAACAATTTAAACTCTCGAATTCAGACTGTCGTGCCAAATATACATGATGTAAGTTCCTCAATGGGATGCATCCTCACGATTTGATCCAAACGTAAATGCAACATTGTACGTCAGACATGTCCAGGGACTCGATCCCCATTCCCTGGGACGCCCATAATCCCAGGGCCCCAAGCCGTGGACTGGAGGAGTACCAGAAATGTTTTACTACAAGTTCATGGTTTTAATTTGTCACTCTATGGCTCTTTGGTGCAACTTGGAGTAACTTAAAAGGTATATATGAGGATTTTCCCAAATTTTAGGTAAGAACCGCTTACTTCTCCACTATTTTTTTATGAAGTGAAAATGGACACAATGTGAAAAATAGACATAGAATAATTGCGAAAGTGAATGATAAAAACAATATTCACTCCACTTTTTGAACAAAGCTCTCTGGTTTCATTCGATCTCTCCAGATTTTTTGACAATGGGGAGGACCAATAGTCTTGATGATCCACCCGGAAGTAGAAAATCCTCCTATGTACCTTTTTAATGAGTTGTTTTTCCCTATGGTCGGACTGTTGGTTACATATTGGGATTTCTTTTTTTTTTTTTTTTACCTTTTTCATATATGGGCATTTCCTGAAAGGTAAACGGTTGGAGATTTTGGGATGCATTTGTGGATCATTTTGATGTGACATAAAATTGTTTACAATCAGTTATCGATGCGCTTTCAAAAAAAAAACTTGGGGAACCTACTTGATTGTATGCTCAAGTTACGACGTTTGCTCTAAAGGTTTAACAACACTTCATTGCCGTTGTTGAGTTTGATGACTTAGTTTTTGTCTGCACTTTTACAGTCCACAGTGCCGAATGAAAGGCGCATGCTGCTTGGACATGGACATTAAGCCACATGCCTCTCACTCAATGCAACCTCTTCAGCAAAATTGTGCTTTTTTATCCATAGTTCCTTCATTTACCGCTAGGTGCAAAAGGCTGGGGTGAACTTGTATTTTCTTAAATCATGAAAAAAAAAAAAGTTTTGCACTAAAGAATCGTAATCGGATCATTTTGTTGTTCACTCGTGTCTTTGTCAGGTCACACTGGACTGTTTGGTATCATGTTGGTGTGAACGCAGTCGGTCCTGGCGTCGTCTTAAGATTGCAGCTATGTTTAAAAATGCACTATGCCTGTGACATGACATATTGGTCAAAGTTGTACTGTGTGTGTCAACATAGCCTCACCTGGTTATAGGTAATTCCTTGATTTCCCTAAGCGGAAAGCCTGTGGACGTCGATAACATGTATTTTTGTCATGGAACCTACTCCCTGGTTTAATAATTCTGAAACTACCGGTTTTTGCACCTTTTGTCCACGACTGGGAGCTCTATATACAGTGCCTTCAATTAGATATATATTTTCAGTTGCTTGTTGATTGTCACTCATTTAGTCCCGTGTCACTACTTAAATGTTTGCACTTGACGGCAGATTACTATGTCAAATCTCTTGTATGCTTCTAATAAAATGATAACATATTCATGGGAAAGTCATTTTTTATAGCTAAAACATGATCCACATTTTACAAAGTTCTCACAAATTGTAAATGGTGAACTTTTGCTTTTGCGGTTTTTCATGGGTTTGACCTTTCTGTTTTATGCAACATTTTGAGCTCCCATTTCAATGATTAAAATGTTCACTGGCCGATTAAATGGCAGGAAACCTAATTTATGTTCAAGTACATACGTTTTCACAAGTCCATACAATATATCACAAGGATAGTGGTTTCAATGTTGTAGTCATGAAAGTATGGGTCATTTTAATATACAAAGTCAGAGTGACATAACCTAACTAGACACTGGTGGCTCTCTGAGATATTACAGCATCTAATTGATTTGGTTCTTGCCTCGAGTTATTGGCTCATAGAACCACAAGTGATGCCACCAAAAGAAACTGTAGAGAACTGATCTTGGTGAGTCCTTTTCAGCCACAGGATCTAGACTCGTCCTGAAGCCAGAGACAAAAACAGGTTTACAGGTAAGCTGAAATGATTGTTTCTGAACTTTAAAAATATTACATACATCCGTTTCAATTTATGAACAAGTGTTGAAAATGAACTTTCAAAACAATGCATCTGGCTGTGTCCAATGTGATTGTGATATCCATAGTAAGAATAAAAACATTTCGCACATCTTCAGAAAAAGGGTTTCTCAATAACCCAAATAAAAAAGTGTAATGATTTCACCATATTCATCTGATAAAGTTACGCAAAGCCTTATATAACTCGCCACATGTTTTCTATCTTCCCTGAGACAGATTCATGCTGCTTTTATTGGCAAAGATGCTGAAACCCTCTCATAGTGAGCACCATCTCATGTGCTCACTATCTTCTGTGATAGTTTTTTCAAATGGAAAGTAATGGTGCTGTTAAGTGTAAGCCTGGGGCTACCCTTTGCTGCCAACAGTTACAGAAAAGTCCCTTAAGGGGCCAGACAGTCACAGACTACGAGAATTTGCACAGAGGGGTCGGCCCAAGACCTTCTGACTGTCGGGATAAGTGCTTTAGTTATTCCTTTGGTCTGTCTTGCTCGGTGGGTGTGGCCATTTGCTGACCTTTACCCACTGCACCCCTGGACCCCACTGCCCCCCACACCTACCTGGTCGTGCTCTTGGGTTCCAACTGTTCTTTTAACAGTGCCTGCGTAGGATTTCTCTGGGTGCTCCGGTAAAAAAAACGAAAAACATGCACAACAGGTAAATCCGCCAGCTCCGGTCCTGACCAAGAGCATCAACATCTGGAGATGGACACTGTTACTACGGCGACCACCTTTTACCCTTAATTTCATACTCTGAATGAAGATGAAATGAAATTTGGCCTAATTTTCACTCAATTTTAATTTTTGAATCTTCCACACACACAAGCATAACAAGTCATCATACAAAGTTTTTGTCCCCCAAAGGGGACAGTGAATGCACAGGCCCTCTCCCTGGCGTAAGTGGAGGTCCCCAGGCACCGGCAACCACCGCGGTGGCTGCCATCTTGTGTCCAGGGTTTTCAAAATATGACTCTTTAACTCAAGATGATGTGTAGAATATTCTTATGTGCTACATTTCCACATCTTTTGTGTCTTCTTCAGGCAAGATCTCCACGTTAACTGGAGGCACTCGAGTGTACTCTTTGTATGCACAGGCTCAGACCCCCACTCTTGCTGAGTATTATCCATCCATCTATCAATGCCTTCCTTCCACATCAATCCATCCTTCCTTCCATTCTTCCTTCCTTCCATCCTTCCTTCCTTCCATTCTACCTTCCTTTTTTTAACCATAGAATAAGATCATGGTGAAGAACAACCATACAGTAACATCAATTTATGAGAAGTTAAAGATAGGTACCTCAGCTTTAAACAATGCACTATAGTTTTACATCCCTCTCCTTGAGAGCTTTAGGACTTATTCCTATGGTCCGTCCCGCTTGGTGGGTCTGGCCATTTACCGATCTTTACCCACGAGACTCTACTGCCCCCCACACCTACCTACACCTCTGGACTAGAACCCTAAACCCGAGGGGCCCGAGGACCGGGCTTCGGGCCGATGACCGTATTTTTACCTCAGACATGGGCCGGGCTCGAGCCTTTTTATTAATTCATTTTCAGAGCAGCAGATTACATTTACGAACGCACCCCATTACGCTGTAGTGTTTGTTGTTCTGTATAGTATTGTCATTGACGACACACAGCGTTACCTTTTGAGTGTGTTGTAGTTTATTGCGGCATCTGGGCATCATACAGCTGCGGCCGTTCACTCCATATACACAGAACTCATTGCAACACATCACTACCATGTATAACTCCGCCCTCTAGCCGGGCCTGTGTTCATTTCAGTGTGCTGCACTATATACTACGCTAAAACATTGTTATGGAACGTAAACAAAAGAAAATAAAGTCGGGCTTGATATAGGTTTGGGCCTGAGGATTCTGAAAACCTTTCGGACAGGGCCGGGCTGGCACTCCCCCCCCCCCCCCCCTCGGGCCAGGGTCGGGCTCGGACCCAGATAATAGTCTATTATCTCAGGAGAAAAAACACATAATTGAACATGTTCTAAAAAGTTAACTGAAATGTAAATAGAGGGCCACACGTTCCGCGAGCCACTCTCCAATGTAACTAGACAAGCACTGACCTGGAACCTCCAAGGTCGTGGGGGCAGCAGTCTAAGCAGAGACGCCCAGACTTCCCTATCCACACACACTTCCTCCAGCTCGTCTGGGGGGACCCCAAGGCGTTCCCAGGCCAGCTGAGAGACATAGTCCCTCCAGCGTGTCCTGGGTCTTCCCCGGGGCCTCCTCCCGGTGTGACGTGCCCGCAACACCTCCCCAGGGAGACGTCCAGGAGGCATCCGGAACAGATGCCCGAGCCACCTCAACTGGTTCCTCTCGACGTTGAGAAGCAGCGGCTCTACTCCGAGCTCCTCCCGTGTGACTGAGCTCCTCACCCTATCTCTAAGGGAGCGCCCAGCCACTCTGCGGAGGAAGCTCATTTCGACCGCTTGTATCCGCG